CCCCCGGCGGGGGGGCGCCGGGGGAAGAGGGGGAGCCGCTGCTGCCCACCGCGGTGCTTGGCAGGGAGGAACGGCTGCGTGTGTCTCGTCGTGAGCGGCTTTTCTTTCTATTTGGTTTTTTTTGTCCCTCTTTTCAGGGAGGAACACAAAAAACACTCTGCGGGCTGCGCTTTTCTCTCCCTTCAGAAAGATCCTACTAACCTGACACTGCAGGAGTTCCTGAAGCTGGACAAAGAACGCATGAAAAATGTAATTGTACGTATATGTCGGTGCTCTGATGTTCTCCTACACCCCCATGACTCTGGAAGAGTTATTTCATTTCTAGTCTTGGGATTGTTTAGCTGGCCTCTTGGTGCCTTCTCACAGTGCTGCCAAAGTGGTTTGTTGCTTCCTGACTCCTGGTTCTCAGCCTTTGCCTTGTGGGAGATGTAGCCCGCTTTCCCCTTGAAGCTGAACAATGCTCAACTTAGTGGTAGACATTAATGTATTATTTTTATTCTTTGCAGAAAAAAGAAATTTCTCAGAAAGTGACCGAGGTTGAAGATGCAGCCAAGAGTGTGCGTCGTGAAATAGAGAATCTGGTCTCCTAGGCTACTGTAGCCTCTCACTTGCCGGTGACATCGGTCTTGTACGTGTGCACTGGCGCTGCCAGTTTGACTGAATGACTGTGTTTCCTGAGACTGCTTTCAGAATGGCCGTCTCTGGGAGAAGCAGACTGAATTCTCCTTCGCTCACCTGAGTCTGTCCGGGAAGTACCTGGGGTTTGATGCACTGCCTACATAATCTTTTTTCTGCAGGGATTCTCCTGTTCTTCCTGTTGGTTTAATTAAGGATTACTGCTTGTGGTTTTATTTGTTGGTTTGTTTGTTGTTTTTTTTTTTAAACCCAGCTGTTTCCATTTTGGAGATGCTGGTAGCTCTGGTGCAAGAACTTGTGTTTCTTGCAAGAGCTGGCAGGCACTTCCATTTTTATACTGAATATACCAATGCTTTTGGATACTTTTGGAAATAAAAGGGGGAAGGAGTTTTAAAGCTCCTTCAGGGATTTAGAATTGTGGCTAATAATGTCTAATTATACCAAATCTTAGTGTGCCTGGCATCCTTGTAAACTTCTATTTGTAGCTGGCTGCTGCCTCATGTTGGTGCATTTATAAATAAAAGTTGAAGGCAAAACATCAAAGTAATCTTATTCAGTTTTCTGGAGGAAAAGAATCTGACCTTTAATGCAATGAGCTGCACTGAATGCAGTTTTAACTTCAAAATGGAAAATAAGCTCATCAAAGTACAGCTTGTAGTGCTGTTGCTCAAGTGTCAAACTGTCTTAAGCAGTGTTCATCAGGTCTCCTTAAAATGTCCTTGTGCCTTGGAAGGTTTGGTTGGTCCCTCTCCTTGCGCAGGTTTGGAAAGGAAAAGAAATCTTGCAGAACGGAACGCAGACAGTGAAGAACTGTGCTGTGAACTGCTGGGAAGGAATGGGGGAATCTTGTACACAATAGCTGGCTGTTACGGGGCCCGAGTTGATTGTACGGGGTTGTGAAGTCTGCAGGCAGAACTGGACGTGTGCGCTTAGGTGCTCCCAAGCTCAAAGAACCTCCAGTTCCATCTTGGGGAAAAGGCAGCTGCGATCACACACTGATGAGCCCAGCGTTCCTGGGTTTTGTAAGTTTGTCCAGTGTTCCCTGTCCAAGCTTACTTGTGAACAATGAAATAACTTCATTATTTCCAGCTGTAACAGCCAAATCATATGCTGATAGTGCTTCTGCATTCTTCTTCTTTATGCTTGCATCGCAGCTGTAAATAAAGAACAGAGTGTTTTAAGCTACTTAAATTCATTCCAAAATACTGGAATTAGTGAAGTGGCTTGCAGGTAAACGTTGATGCAGAGTAACTTCAGAATTTCTGGGTGCCTCTTCCTGCAGGGACGCAACTGTGAGGTAAGAGCGCCGAGCCTCGGGCAGGCTCTGGCCCTTCAGTATTGCCAGCTAGATCTGCGCAAGCAGGCTGCGGGTGGCCTGTAGCTAAGCCGGAGGCCCAGCTGCAGTACTTACCCTAACAGGGCTCGGATGCACTCCTCTCCCTCTGATCCGAGCAGAACTGCCTCATGGAGAGCAGTGTTGTTGTGCCTGCATAGGAGGAAGGAGCGATGTACTTATTACCTAAGGAAACTGTGCTGGTACATGGAGAAGTGGTCTAGCAAATTAAACTAAGGAATATGAATATCAGGATATAGAATACAGGAGTCATGGTGATTTTTTTTTTTTTTTGGAGGCTTTAGTGTGGTTTATTGTATTAAGTTGAAGGGGATGGGGGAAGGAGTTGAACAGAACAGCTTTTTTCCTAGCAGAAATTATGAGAAATCTTCAAAGCTGGCAACGGAAAGAAGGACTGTGAATGCTATTATCTTTGCTCAGTTGCAGGTGTGTTTTTTTTTTTTTTTTTTTAAATTTGGCTTTGAAAGGAGCTCCTCGACTACAGATTTGTGCAGCAGGGGTAGGAGATTAGCCCTCTCTAAAATTGGAGCCCAAGTGCTTTTTTGGTAAAATTTCAAAAGACCTGAGGCAGAAAATCAGTGCTCACTTACGGCCCTGACTGCTGGTCAACGTCAGCACCTTTCTGCACAAGAAGGGAGATCACTTCGGCGTGCTTGTTAAGGACAGCAACCGTGAGAGCAGGACGGTCCTCGTTGCTGATGCAGTTTGGGTCAGCTCCCTAGAACGCACAGGAAGGGGAAGGTGAGCTGTTAAAAGCCATAAAGATTCTTCAGCTTCCACCTTGCTTTAATATTATGCCCATTTAAGTTGGCAAATGGACTTCATGCTCAAGACATAGAAATGTTCAAATGGTGTGGTATTGTTCCTTCATGTTTCTTCTGAAAATGTTGTCTCCTAGCTCAAAGCAAGAGTAAATTTATATAACAAGAGCAGTCAAACTAGATCCCACAGTCAGGAGTCACCTTACTACACAGCAAAAAGGTAGAGGTTATGCTTGCTTTTGCTATACAGAGGACTTGACCCTGAACCACAAAATGAATATATTTTTCTTTCTGTACGGCCTTGACAAACCCAGAGGAGAATGCCTTACACACTGGCAAAATAGAAATTTGGGGAGAACTTATATAAATGTAAAATAGGCTGTTTCTTCTTTAAAATGCTCTTTCAATCTGAAAACAGTCAGTTGTATTGCAAGGATGTTGTCTCCTAACCATAAAGTTGAAGTTGCGTACCAGGCTAATATTCATGCAGTAAATGGTCAAAGAGTTGGAAAGGGAAACTTCAGCAAGCAATAACTTACTTCACAGAGCAATTGTTCTACCAAGGTGATTCTTCCTTTCCCATTTGGACCCAGTTCATCCAGTAGTTGTCTGGACTCTGGCTGTGAAACACAGAAAATAGCCAGTAACGTTTCACATAGTGAAAATACAAGTAGGTAGGCTGTATTCTGCCTTTGAGTAAAGGTGGAAAATGCACACAGTGGCATGAAGGCAGTGTAGCTGAGCCTCAGTGTTACTAATCCATGACCCTTCTGTGGGAATGTCTTTCTGAATGTGAGCAAGTGTTGGATAACCCAGGCTAATATCTCACTACTGAGGTCTTGCTTCAGCAAATGTATCTGCAAATTATTAGCTTTACATCAATGCAGCTCTTCAGGGCTGTACAAAGATCTGCTCACCACAGTAAAATTAGACATGGGCACAAGTTCTTTGCTATAGGATTGAAGTTTGAAGCTTCCAGAACTTGTGGAAGTAATTTATTTTAAAAATGAATATGTTTTGCCTCACTAAAGTTAGTTTACTAAATCTTAAAACAACAAAGAAACAACAAAACCTAAAACCTTTTCCTTTTATTTCTTCCCAGCCTTCCACCTCCTTCCTCTCCCCTTTTGAAAGGCCAATCACTTGACCAAGCATTTTTGTCTCTGGACTCATCACAAAGCTCTGTATCTTCTTCCACCTGTTGAGTTGGCTAACTGATCCAAGCTTAGATTAATGCATGTTTCCCCTTTGAAATTTTCCATGCCGTTACTGACAATCCATTTAGTAGGCAGTGCTTCCAGGATATTTGGTCTCTAGTGGAAATAAAGCCTGGCTTCTTGCATCAAGCTAGCTCTCAGTTGTGCTGACATCTCAGCTTGATGGGAAGACTGAATTGACTTAAAAGCTTGTTGTGTAGATCACCGTCCCCTATCTAGTTCGCAGTCTGACTGTGCGAACAGCAGTTCTAGCACAGCCAAGGGTCCGTCCTATGGAGTCAAACCAAGTAGTAAGGGGCAAGGGAAGACACTAATGCCTACATCTGATGTTGCTTCTGAGAAAAACTTGTAACAAAATCAGTCTGCAACAGTCTTTAGGCCTAATGCTGTGTTGGTAAAACAGAATGGGTCCAAAAATGCAAGCAACAATCTAATTAAGCTCTTAGGAGCAACAATGTTTGGTTATTTCCAGTTCTGTAATAAATGTCAGCTACCAATTTTCAAGTTTTATATTAAGCTGGACTTTTGTCCCCTTTCCTCCCCCACACCCCAATCAGTGTTAAAAGCCTTCTATTTTTACACTTGGATGCCCTTCTTCATGTTGGTGCTGCTCTATAGGTAGTTTTTCCTGTACTGGCAGAAGATACGTACGGGGAGCTTGTCTTCTTTTTCTGTAAGTGTTCTTGACTTTGTTCTTTTTATTTTGCCTCTCGAATAGAAAAGATTATGATCTTCTTTGCCTACCAGAAAGGGAAACAAGTGTTAATTCAAAGCAAAGTCAGTATCCTAACAAGAACTTGGGGGAGAGATCTGGAAATAATTTATCCACAAAAATATTTTATTTTGTGTTGAAATGAAAGCAATATTTATCAATTTTCTACAAGAGAAAGTGATGAAATATTTGTTGCACATCAGACTGGTTTTAACAAAAGGTTTACACTCAGGCAGACTTAAAAACTTGCTATTTTGAAATGAAGATTCAATGAAATATGGAGTTTGGGCGTTTGATTCTTTTTTTTAACTAGCTGCAGCTATTCAACAGGCTTGACTCGGATTCATTAATTGTTTTGACTAAAAAACCTTACAATTTTTCAATGCTCTTTAGCTCCCAAATACTTAAGAACAAGACTAGAGGACCTTGAGTAGATATGCACATCCATTATTTTTAAGAGACGTAATCTACCGATGTGCAGGAGGGCTGATAAGGAAATTGTGCAGCATGTGGGGACCCTTTGAGCTGGTGTTACTAGAGTGCCTGGAATCACAGCCACGTTATTGACGCTCCTGAAAACCAGCTCCTAGGGCTGTGGCTGCCACTTGCCAAGTCCCAGATTAGAAGCACAAACTGGCAGAAACCTATATGTGAATTGAAGTATGTCAAATTATATAACAGGAATTTCTGAATTCTAATGCTGACTTTACAACTAGTTGATTTAATGAAAACCAAAGTCCAATACGAGATGCCTAAGATGTTACTGACACCAATGGGAGATGCAAGTGAAGCATCTCTGAAAACTAGGTCTAGAATTAATGTATTTCATCATTTCTTATCTTTGCCCAATGTGCCAAAGCTGAAGTCCCTGGCACAGCTCAAAAGTAGAGATAATATTGACATTTATAGCTCCTGTTGTAAAAGAATATGCGAAGCATCTAAAGTTGTATCACTATAATGAAGACACTGCTGTGAGTTGTGGCTGTAGTTTACTGGCCTCTCCAGCTGTCCTCTAGGGGTGAAGCGTTCCCAGGAGCTTTTGACAGAGTCTGTACATTGCTTGAATGTCAAATCAGCCACATTTTGAAACTCAAAGATCAACTTAAGTAGGCGCAGAATGTGCCAGTGCATTCGTTTGCCTGTCTCAGTGTCTGACCTTCCAAGCACTACTTCTGTATTCTTGACTACTATATTTATGGTCTATCATAAAGACAGGGGGAAAAAAAAATCTCACCAAAACTAGTCTGGCTGCCATCCTGTCCACCTCCAACTTCTGTTACTGCTGCTGAACTTCACTGGTTTATTAGTATGAATATCCTGTAGAATCATCAAATGTAGGCAGTGAATCAGATAGCATGTAATGCTATTATAATCTTAGTAGCACAAAGCAGTGGTATTGCATATGAAAAATATATAGGCTTTTAATATCAGTCTCAAATTCGCACAAGACAAATTATATGTAATTGGACTCTGTTTTGAGGCAAAATAATGTAGCACTTTTTCCTAAACCTTGTTTTAGGTATTTGTTTTGATTTAAAAAAAGAAAAAAGTGAAACAACCTCACTTAATGAAATGAAGATTCTCATCCAAATAAAGTGCGTCTACCACTTGAGAGATCGGATTAACTCCTCACTTGTGAAATGACGCGATGCACCGTTTCAGGCACCACTTGGCAAGGTAAGCTTTTAAAGATTCTACACAAGAGATACAGTTTGAATTTTGGATCTTTGAAATGGTAGACTTTCCTCTTTGAAAAGCTGGAAATGAATATGTGGGTGGTTTTTGGAACATGGTAATTCTGGAGGTAGGGATTTGAAGTGTTTGAATACAGTTAACAGGAGCTCTGGCAAACGTTATCTCTGAACTATTGAAAATTACTAAGCTTGTTTCTTAGGAGCACAATATGCAGACTGAAGAAAAGGAGGCTCTAAGGTCCAGGGCTAACGAGTGCTAGAATGATCAAACAATATCAGCTGAAAGAAGAATGTTAGTATCAATAGCAAACTAGTGAAATGCAAGATGATAGCAACATAACCATGAAGTCTGGCTTAATCAGATAAAGGTACCTGTTCAGCCAGCTCCAACAGAAAAAGAAAAAGATTGCTTCCTCTGAAGTGATGAGTTAAGACCCTCTGAACAAAAGAATTTCTTGTTTAGACCTGAATTTAAAATATATCAGCATTACACTGACTGGTCTAGCGACAGCTTTAGACCAGTTGCCTAACAGCGGGCCTCATCCCCTGAACTGACCTTGTTAATAGCAAGGGCGTAATTCAACGTAATAGTGACTTCATAGTCATCCTCATGGATGGTAGCAGAATTAATCTAGAGGGAAAGACCAGCCATTAGTATCTCTTGCAAAAAGTACACAGAAATAGTTTTAGGAATAAGTCTTGCTGTTGTTGTTTATTATGGAGCCAATACACAAAATCACACATGTGGCCTTTGCCTACTTGTGATATTGTACCAACACTTCCCATCTAACTCAGCAAGAGGCACGTGGTATTTTGAGTAACTGGAAATATCAGAATCACTGAAATGCCAAATGAATCCAAAAGATGTAATAATGCTACTTTTCATGAAAGTTCAGTCATTCTCCACCCAGATTTTGCAGCTGCCTGAAAGGCTGTGTTGTCCTTAGGACTCCCTACTCCAGGAGAACTGGTTGCTGCTTTAGTTGTACCAGTCTGTAGAAGCACAGGCTGCAGTAAAACATGGGCACCATGTATCAATTCGTTGAGACAGCAGTGCTGGCAAGAAGGCTATTGAAGTTACACATAAATAAGTGCACAGGGGATTATAAAGAATTGGAATGCAGCTGACAGGGTTATATTGCAGCAGGTTGAGAATTTTGAGATAAGGTTAATTATATTTCTAATCGGCAGGAAAACCGAAAGAGCAGCATTAAACCCAGATAGTTGGCATCTACTCTGAATCACTTCTGTTACTTTTGGGGGCAGCGCTTTCAAGACAATAGAGCAGGAATAGCCTCCTCTAGGCAATTTAATATTTTTTCAGGCATATCTTTTTGAATCCTCTAGCAAAGGAAACAAGTTGCAGTGGACCTGTACTTCATCTCCATCAATATCTTTTGTATTTATACTTGTACTACAGCTTCTGAACATATTGCTGGACCCAATAGGTTCCAAATACCTCCCAAAAGTGTGATCTGCCAAATGACAATTAGATTGCCGACCTCCAGTATTCATGAACTTTTCTGTAGTTGTTTCTGTGTGCTAAAACTGGTTTTTTTTGACTGGTATGTCACAGCAGTCAGGACAGGCTAAGAAACAGTGAGCTTGAACTGTAACAACGGAGACTTAGGTCAGACACTGGGAAAAAGCTTCCCAGTAGCTATGCCAGTTCAAGGAGTTCCCAACCCTACTTCTGCCTGCATCCTACTTCCAGCTGTTCACTGCCAACCTACTTTTCTACTAGCACTGATGCCCTTTTTTCCCTCCAGAGCTATTTTTAGCGTGGGTCGATCGCCAATCCAGTCCACAGAACATTGCCACAAGCAGTTGTGCTGGCAGCATCTAGGAAGCAGCGTGAGGGGATGCAACTCCTTAACCCATCAGGGCTGCTAAAGACAGCAATACAGTACTGCAGCTGAACAGCAAGGATAATTGAGTGCAGAAATGAGCTGCCTGGGGCAATTGTGAAATCTCCATTGTTGGTGAGTTTGAAAAGCTTCAAGGCAAGCATCTGTCAGGAACAGTTTAGGCAGAGTTGATCCTCCCCCAGGACAGGGACCAAATGATCTCTCAGTCATACCAGCCCTATCTTCTCGGACTCTTTAGGAAGAATCTCCAGTTTCCACCTTCTTGCTGTCACCCCTTTAATCATTTTAATGCAGTTTGGTGACATCCTGAAGACTACATCTCCAGTAAGAAAAGCAATATCCTGTTCCTATCATACTGGTATAGTTTATACTAGAAGTAGACTATGTAGCCAAAGAGAATTGCTGCTATCTGCTGGTATAATCCAGCCTGGAGCAGAGGCAAGCATATCATTACATCCCATTTCTAGCAGGGCTTATTTAACTGACCAACTACATAGATGTCAGTGATCTCTTCTTTTTCTTGATTGCCTGCTGGGGGATGCTATAAAAGCAGCCGAGCAAGAGCTTTCTGGCTTCTATCACTTCTCTAATAGCTGTGAGGTGAGAGAAGAATAGAAACTGCCACAGGAAAGAAAGCAGAAAAAAATCTTCACTAAAAGACTGAGCAAAAATGGAACAACAAAACAAAACAAATTACACACACAAACAGGTCAAGGTATAACAAAAAGGGAGACATTTATTTTTCCAGTGTTTATCTAGCAGCCACAATAATCTTTTCATCAGGCTGCATAAGAAGATATTACTCACAAGCTCCTTCCTACCTTTCCCATTCGAGGTTCTCCAATAAGTGTTCTGAATTCAACGTTGTTCTGAGCATAGCTTCTAAGGTGAGCGCAGACATGATCCAGCTGTTTCCTCCAGTAACCTGATCAGAGAGAGTTAAGCAGGAGAAAAATCCCTGAAATTATGATTAACATTTCTTCTGCTCACGTGATGGATGATTTAAAAGATAGCGTATTTTCACTGAGACAAAAAAAAATCGAATTTTTCTTTAGAAAATTCATCTGATCAAGAAAAGAGAAGCAAGTTATACCCTAAAAAAAGGTGAAATGCTTTCTTATCCATAGGTTATAAGTCATTCTTAGGGCACCTCTATTCACAACAAGACCATGTCTCAGAATTGTCCTTTGGAATCAAAACTGGCCCCGTGTGACGGAGAATCTTGCACTATTCCAGATCATAAAAAAACCCCCACAATATTACAACTAAGCAATTGGGCATCATTGAACTGATTTTCAGTTGATTTGAGATCACTGACAGGTTACAATAAGCCAAATCTGAAAATTGCAGACATAGTAACTCAACCTGTACAGCATTCTGGTCTGTATAAATTATTCCCCAAATAAATGCCTTTCACTTATATATGGGAGAGCATATTAAAAGCTTAAGCATTCCTGTTCTTTTGCCTGTCAGGATCTCTGGGAGAGTCACACAATTCCTTTATGCTGGTACAGGGCATGAAACATGAGGGGCTCAATGCGCCTGGATTCAAAACTCATCTTAAGCCATTTAGAGTTTTTGCAGTATTTCCAAGTATTTCCGAAGCGATGTTGTATTTTCATCAGAGAAAGAAACAAAAGAACTTGTTCTCATTCTTAAGTGATTGTTATCAGGATCTGGCTAATTTTATTTTTGAGCATACTTATGGAAAGTACGGAGTATGATTTATTTTGTTGTAAATAAATTGTGTAGGCTTGGTAACCTTGTTTAACTTGCACAATGAAGTTGCTCTGACCTTATCCTTCCCTTCATGTTAAGTGAAGCTCAAAAAAGTGAAAAGAAGCCAAGTCAGAAGAAAAGTGCTGCTCTGACTTTTACAAGAAAAGGCAAGTGCACAAGGATTTTTGTGCTTGGAGGACTCTTCCAAGATCGAACTGGCAGAAACTATGACAAACTAAAACAGCAAGTCGTATTTGTTAGGTAGCTTTAAAGAAATATAAAAAGAAGGATCCCCAGAGCAACATAAATTGTTCCCTGCTATGGTCTCACATGCAAAAGCTAATACAAATTGAAAATAGTAATTAAAAAACCTAAGCTAGACTACTACTTGGTGAGTGATCCCTCCAGAGAAGTTGGTATAACTAGCCTAAATCCCCAGATTTTATTTCAAAAAATCCAGATGTCTGGGAACATATTCTTGCATGTTTGACATTTTATTACATCTAAAAGGATTTTTGGCAGCACTGATGGAATGCTTGAATTCATGCTGTCAATAGTTGATTACACCTATAGCACACTAATTTACTGTTTGTTACAGTAGAAAAGGGAGGCTTCTGTCTAAATTTTACCTGGTAAATGACTTGGCTTCTGTTCAAAACACACTAAAAGTACAGCAAAAAAAGAAATACAGTACACATCAGAGGATTAGTATTTTGGTACTGCTGTTCTTTCCCCCTATCCTAACTGTTTTTTTTTTAATCTTCACAAAAGAAAAGAAGGTTAGTTAATGGCTGATAGGTCAAGAAATGAAAAACAAACAAACAACTTATTTAATCACTTATATTTAAAAACTTTAATATCAAGTGTCTGATACTATTTGAATTGAAATAATGGACATGTTTGGCATATATAAATAGGATTTTCCTGGGTGATACCATATGGTCTTGTTGATACGCGTAGTTTCAAGCCATATATACAGCTCAGCATCAAGGAAAGGGAACAGCATGAAAGACTTGACTGTAACAGACATTTATTGATTTATAGAATGAAATATGTTCCTCAGTCCTTGGCAGGGTCTAAAGGAGAATACATTACACAGTGCAACTTCAACAAAGTTACCTCTGCCAAATGGATGAAAATTAACACAGTTCAGAAGTGGTTCGGAATTTCTTCCCACCCTTTCCCAGTGAAAGGAGCTCTCACTCACAAGTCAAGAGCTGTACTTCTGATAGAGATATATGAATGTTCAGTGTAACTTTTTTTTTTTTTTTCTCAGTACTATTCCAGGCCAATCCTTTATTATATCTGACTAAATTAAGCTCCCTGACATGTTGAGTCAAGTGTTGTATTTCCTACAGTGATGTCTAAGACAACACACCACATTTCAGAGCAAAGGAGTAGGAAAACAGATTTCCCTAGTGATAATTTTTAAAAAAAAAAGTGCATCATCTGTATATTTATACACAGAGTCAAACCAGGAAATTCTAACATTCATTAGTGACTTTTTCTGCCCAATAGATAAATAACTGATAACAGCCTGAGGGGTTGACCCTCAGATTGTAGAAAAGAGCTCGAGATGGGAAAGCAGATCAAAACAAGTAACCATGGTTTGATGCTGTAGTGATTTAGGATTAACTTATTCTCTGGACTGCCCTGTGAGATTAAAGACAATTTTGCAAATTGGGCCACTTATTACGTCCCTAATTAATACTGGTGGACTGTCTTCAAGGGTTTGGGATCTGGAAAGCCGAAGTTGGAGTTTTCCCAGGATAGTAAAACTAAAATCTCTAAAAATTGCAGACTTTTTAATGACAGCAAACAGTCAAGTGATTCCACAAAGAGCTAGCTGACCAAACCAGGGACTGTGAAACAAAATCGTTTGTAGTACTGATACAGCAGTCTGTGCATGGACGGTCTCTGCAATGAGCGATGTAGATGTACTGATACCTTTGCGGGGATGGAAGGTGGGGCCTACAAGAGCTCTCAAGGTTTCTACCAACCCTATGTTTTGTAATCCTGTTAATACCTTTCTCTAGCTTAGTTTCCTTTGCTTCCGAAACTTCTATAATTTATTCCACAACAGCACCCCAAACACGTTCCTCACGTAGACAAGCCTTATCATATTTTTCAAGAGCTACGATCCCATGTCTCAGAGTTTTGCTTAACAATACTCCCAGCAGGCACTACCGCAGTACTAACTGAGCTTTACATTGAAGGGGTTGGGAAAATGGGGTGGCTGTTCACTGGTTTCCAAGTCAAATATAGGACACCTGCCCCTGATCTTGTAGGATCTGAGGAAATCAAACTATTAGCAAATTAGTAAGGCTGCACAGGGGTCAGTAATCATAATTTTTATATTGCTGATAGGCTTTCTTTTAGCTATTGATGGAGATCAGTGATCTGAATTCTAAGGCACTTCATTTACAAGTGACTGGTGGGAAGACAGACTTGTAAAGATGTAAATCAGTGTCCTACTGATGCCACATTCCATAGACTATAATTTTTTCAAGAAAAAGCAAGGTCATACATTGCTGCTTTGTTTAGAAAACATAAAATCAAACCTCCTAACCTTTTCCAGGACTAATGGCTGTCAGGAGAGGCTTATGATCACTCATCCTTTCCAGCTTTTCTTTTTGTGAAATCAGCTCAAGCTCCTTCTTTTCCAACAGTTTGCTAGATGGGTAGAAAAGTCCAATAGTTTGGGTTCCTTTATCTTCTCTTTCTTTTAGTTCTGCCCTTGATTTGGGCAAGGAAATAGGAAGAGGCTGCCAGGCAGCTTGAGCTTGAAATCGTTTAGCCTGTGGGGAGTGGAGGGAAGGAAAAGCGTAAGTAATATAATTAGGTATCATTAAATGGCTTATAAGTAGAAATTAACTAGAACAGTATACAAAATTGTAAAGGAATGAAAAAGCTAGCGGGAAGAACCAATAACAATTCTGGATTTTATTTACCAGTCTGTAACAATGAAGCAACTTATCAAAAATATTCAAGCAAAAGCAAAACTCTTCATGACTGACAGCAGAACGACGTGTATGCTTTTGTAGGACAAAAGCTGGCCTTGCTAAGTATTATGGTCATTCTTAAAACAGAGTTTTCAAAGCACTGTTACATATGCATGGAAGAATGCTTTGTATCAGCAGGACACAAATAATTCACAAGTAATAAGATAAAAGTACTTAAAGAGCTAAGACTTTTGAAAAGCTGATTGTTTCTCACTTTCCTATTTAGAATAAGGCTGGATTAAGGCCTTTGGCTAAGGCTACTTTTTGGCAGAAAGCAGTTCTCAGAATAAACATAACCTCGGTTTTGCCCTCAGCATGCTCACAGACCACAACGTTGCCTCAAAGAGGAAATGAATGGAGTTGTGCCGATCTACACTCGCAGTGGACTAGCCTTTTAGCTGTGTTCAAGCCTGGCTTTGTAATACTGTGTGTTGTACCTCAGAAAACCCCAGTGAGTCCCCAGCATCCGTGAGACTGCCGTTCTGAGAAGCCATCCTTGATGGGGGCTCTATGTAAACACCACAGGACCCACAGAAGCGAGCGTATGGACGGTTGCTTGTACCACACTTGACACAAGTAAAGTAGGATAGAGGAGGTCCAGGCTGGAAAGTTGAACGAAACACTTGTCACTACAGCAAGATATGATGCATGGTTCAGGAAAGATAAAAGCAGTGGCATGAATTAAAAGGAAATAAGGTAGCACTACCTAAAGCTATTAGATTAGAAATATTCACCAGGATACCAGACTGCTAACACACTGGCAGATGCAAGACAGTAGATCTTCAGCTATCTCAGCACTGTGCTATGGAGGCAAACATTTTTCTCAGACAGATCTAGCATTTTGGTATGTTATTTTTTTAATGTATGCTTTCAAAAATATTTCTTTTCTTTGGCAAAGCCCTGTCATTACTAGTGCGTGCTCCGATATTGAATATTGACTGCAATTCTTTCCTGTTCAATTCTAACACTACCCCCACCACCGCAAGTCCCCTGGTACGGTACAGGACCAACGGTTGTGTATGCGTATAGGGGAGTGTTTAAAATTTTATGTAGACTCAGCTCACAGAAAAAAAAAATAATTCTCCCCAAGTGTGGTCTTAGCTTGAAACACTGTACTTATAAAAGTATATGGCAGAGGATATTGTTTACATTGATTGTACCATGCAAAAGCTCTACCGAGCAGCAGTTAAGAGAAAGTACTTGTCTTCAGTGAAGTTAATGAGGCCTTCAGCCAAAAAAAATTGCATGTATCATCTCATCTCTGGTGATTACCTGTATAGGTGATCATAGCCCAGAGTAGATATGGGAAAACTTGCATTAGGTTAGCCTATACTTTAACCTTTGATGGATAAGTTACTTTGGCAGAGTACATAGCTATTGCATCTCAACTGATGCAATGAGTTGATGCTTATTGACCCATGGTAATTTGTTCACATCTCTAAACCCTTAGGTCACTGACTGACGTGGGGTCAGGATGTCACCTAAGCCTTTAATTTTTCTTTATATATAATCCTATATGCTCTAAGCAAGTATTTTGATAATAATAAGCTGTGTACTAACTGACAAGAGTTTTGCAAAGATAAGTTTGAAATTGCTGCAGGTCACAGATGAGTAAAAACAGATTTGTCAACACAAACACCGAGAGCACGTGCCTTGGCTCCACACCAGTCGCAGAAACGGGCGTCACATTGGTTAACACGATTGCATTTTGAGCAAGAAACTGTTTTCCTTTGCTGGCTGGGATAAAGCAGGGGGGTGTCTCCTCCAAACATGGGCTAATAAAACAAAAAAAGCATTAGGGAGAAAATACTTCCTATGAAGAAAGTTTCACAAGCTAAATAAGGTGAAAGAGGAAAGCAAGCTACTTTGATAACATAAAGTAATATTCAGCCTAAAAGAATTATTTCAACTTAGAATAAGCAACAGACTGACTTGGATCTAAGCTGTATTTTTTTTTTAATTACAAAACCACAGTAAAATGTGGCATTAATTAATTTTTAAATATTTTTAGCAGCACTGAGTGCAAAAAAAAAAAATTTCCTTATCGATCATGTCCTCTTACGCTGACTATTTATTAATATGGCCCCATGTATAAATACACTTAAAGTTAAGAGGGAGGTTTCTCTGCTGATAAACTTATATTTTCAGATTCAGAACACAAAAGCTATTTTTCTTTGTACCTTTCTTTGTAGTAGTATGGCAGGGAGAATGTGTTCGGACAATGAGTTTTCTCTCAGTTTGATATTTGCTACGTAAATATTTTGCTGCACTCTTACCTCCTACAAGTTATATATTACCTACCTTTCCTGCTACAAGTAACTTATATGGGTATGCAAAAGAAAGATTTTTCAGCTGAAACTTCTAGCGGTTGATTATAGATCCTAGTTAGGACAAATACGTCTTAAAATGTTTTGTTAGGTTTTGGCTCAGGGCTTATGCAGTTTATTTTCTCTACAAGTCAGGAATATGCATAAGGAACAGAACCTGAGGAAAATTATTTTGATTACAGACACCACAACAGCACGTAAGCAAACAGGAGATAGCCCTATTTTCATCTATGGCCTGCATTGCAATTTGAATGATGTAACTTAGGGGTTCATTTGGGAGATAAAATTTACAAGAGCACAAGTCTAAACACATTTAAAAATCTAAATTATTTAATAACTATTAATAGTAATATCAGCATTATTACTAATTATTATTTATTCAGGAATTACTATTGTTATCACTAATTAATCAGTATTATTAGTGACATTTCTGATTATTATTAACAATAATTCAGTAAGCATTTGACTTTATCTTTTAGCTACTACAGGTCTCACCATTCAAGTCATATGCCTAACTACATATGCAGCCACATATTAATATCTACATTCAGTGAAGCAGTTAAACATATGTTCATCTTAGGTAAGTACAGATTCCTACTGAAATTCACTTTGAAATGACACCTCAGTGGCTATACAAGAGACCTTTGCCTCTAGCTATTGACAGTATTAGAACTTAGGATGTTGCCAATATAATCAGAAGATTTTAACTTGCAAATCATTATTCTTCTCTCATTTCTGTATTTCTCACAACCTGGAGAAGTGAAATGTACCATAAGGTTTTCATACAAGACTTTTCTCTTCAGAAGTGAAAGTAAAATTCTTCTAAGGAACCAAATGAGAATGCTAAATGGGGAGTTGAAACAGACAGCAATATTAGGGGGAACATTTACTGTTGCTTTTCTCACCTCTGTGCAGAGTCTCAGCCAAATACAAGCATAGTAGCTGTATGCACATAGAGGAAGCAGCAAATGGAGACAAGAAAAATAATGTAACAGAATATTTTATTTTCACAAAATAATTGAAATTAACAAGGATGATCTTTCTGGTGTATATACTCAAGTTCTCTATTGCAATTGAAAATAACCTGAACACATACAAGACTCCCTTGGAGCCAAGAGTACCCGTTTTCTCAGAGCCTTCTGAGCTTTCACAGCGGCATTTGCAATCCTGACCTCCACAGGAGAAACTTGAAGGTATACATTACACTTATGTTTAGCTGGACATTTGTGATGGAGCATCTGTAGGAGTACTGGGCTTGAATATGGCATGGGGGAGGGATTCTCTGCTTTTGTAACATAGGCACACAGGGATATGACTTCAGTTTTCCAAAGAAAAAGAATGTTATGCTTTGATTTGATTAGTGTGATTGATGCAAGCCTTACCATCTCTATTTCAGGCAGTTTGCTTTCACAAGTCACACAGTGTTTATGGTGAAGAGGATTTCCTGTGCCACACGCCTGACAAATTACTTTACCCTTTTAAATAGAGAAAGAATATATTTCACATGGTATTCGAAAACTGTGAACAACAATAAGAAGAGGACTTGATCTTACAAAGTGCTGTGGTTATTCAGCCCTGCAGATAGAAGAGATCCTTCAAGTCTGTGCTGTGGGCTTCAGACTTTAGTTAGGCTGTATTACTTGGTCATCACAAATCTACATATCTTGGTGACAATTTTTTTTAAACTATGGTACAGTTCCCTCATGGGATCCAGCATCAATACAATACAATACAATTTTAGACACTCTGAAAGGGAGAGCCAGCCTGCAGGAAGATCTGGATAGGCTGGAAGAGTGGGCTAACAAGAACCTTATGAATTTAACAATGACAATTGTAAGGTCTTGCACCTGGGAAAACATAATCCAGGAGTGCAGCTCAGACTGGGATCCACCTGGCTGGAGAGCAGCTCCGTGGAAAGGGACCTGGAGGTCCTGGTGGACAGGAAGCTCAACATGAGTGAACAGTGTGCTGCTG